CCTTGTAGCACCTTTTTCTCCACACGTCCTGCCTTCTCGCTGTTCTCTAAGCAAACCTCAATAGAACTAGGTCTTTGATAAATTAACCTGCCCCTTCCTTATCAGTTCTAAATCAGTTGAGAAAGAGAAATTGCAGTCAGCTATTGATTAAAATATCAACTTTTTTGTTCTTTTTTTTTTTTCCTAGAAAACCTGGATTGGACGTAGAGCCCAAATCCAGATTGTTATTTCCCTACCCCCAACCCAAGTCTAGATGTTGGGACTTAAATGAGGGAAGGTCAGATCTACAAAGCAAACAGTAACACAGCATGTCAGCTGAACAGAACTGAAGGCCCTAATATTACAGTGTCTCAAATCACAAAGAAGTAGGCGTTCGGAGCTGGTATAAAACGCCACAGTGTCGTCAGGGACCCATGCTCTTAAATATTTGCTCTCTATTGTGCTTAGCACTTGGCTTCCATCCTTAGGTTTACCACATAGTACAAGACAGTTACTGGGGCTCCAGCTATTTCATCTATCTTCCAGCAGGAAAGAGGGTTGTAAGGAGCCTTCCCAGAAGTTCCATTTACATAGCGTTGGCTAGAACTTTTTACATAGCTAACACTTAACTTCAAGAAAGGCTAGGAAATATAGTCTTAGCCTGAGCAATAATATGCCTACCCCCCAAACTGGTATTCCTGTACCGAGGATGCAGAGAAGAATGGATGTTTTGATAGGCCACAGTCAGCTAACTGCACAGTCTTGGCCTCCCTGCCCTCTTTGAGCTCAGAGAGCCCCAAGAGTGGGACCCAGGTGTGCCTACCTCACAGTGCAGCAGCAGTGGGAGAGAGTGCATCCAGAGAGAGCCAAGAAGGGGCTCACCGTACATGCCCAGTGTTCTTTTCCAAATCTCGACAATTAGGTAAGTCACTGTTCCTCTGAAGGGGAAGAAGACTGTCCTCCACCCACTCTGGGTCCTTTCTGGCTGGGCTACAGATGAAGTTGCCATGAGACCAAATAGCAGGAGAAAAATCAAATAGAGCTTTATAACACGTATACATGGGAGAGACCCACTGTGTAACTGAGTATCTTGACAAATGGTGGAGGTTTTCACCTTAAATAGCATATCCAGGTAGACGAAGGAGGATGTTGGGGGTGGGGGAGTCAGCTATGGGAGATCACCAGAAAGCACAGTAAAGAAGAGTAAGGCTAATATGCAGGTTTAAGTCTTCGCCTCGCCTTCCACACTGATAAGAGTTTCTAGAGATAAGGTCAGCCCCGCTTCTTCCTGGTCAGAGAGGGAGATACCTTTACAAAAGGAGATTTCCCTTATAAATGTAAGTGTCTCTTACAAAGGATAACTTCTACTTTTACTTGGAATGGGCTTAGCAAGGACCCTCCCAGTCTATCCATACCCAGAGTTAAATTCTTTTAGGCAGTTAGTGGGTGGAGGGGTGGGCGGGGAGGTCGAAGTTTCTTTCAGAGGAAACAATCAAGGTAAAGAGACGTATTTTGAGGTGGCCAATTCTGATCTCCCACACCTCCTATGGGAGGAATACGGACAAGTGTAAGAGGGAGCAGAATATTCCTGGAATGCTGCTCCCTCCTTGGGAGCGAAGCTGAAACCAGCTCATGGAACGTGAGGACAGGGAGTGGGGTTCCCATGACTGCTCGTGCCCCAGTTCTCCTGCTAGGCCTACACTCTTACCCAATCCTACTAGCAAATGCCAGCCTACCCTCTGGCTCCAGCTTACAGGTCACCTTTCCTTTGGCCCCTTTCATGACCCGCATTCTGACCCCAAACAGGCCTCTGTTCTTCCATGTCAGTGTGTTCAGACTAGAGGACAACACTGCTCACACGCTGTCAGAACCCTCTCTCTCTGTGCCTGTTTCTCCTGCTCTCTCTTCTCTACACACACTAAACTGCGGTTTCTGAGGACAGGAACCTGGTTTAATCTCTGCGTTCAGCTCCTCCTGTGGTCCCTGACACTTGGGAGGCACTCAAATGCTTCCTAGATTAGTCGTGCCGAGGCTGTCCTGCTTTCCTCCTCCCCCTGTGGTATCATAAGGAGACTGAGACCGTGAGAAGTTGAGTGCCTGGCAAATAATACAAGTAATGGACGTCTGTGTTCATTAAAACATCATCGTGTTCTAGGCGCTTTCGTAAGCAGTTGTGAGTACTGTTCTCCTCAATTCTCGTACCAGCCTGGTGGGCGCATCGTTAGCCCTAGTTCGCACTGAGTTGAGTTGGCGCAGGCCGCAGAGCGGGCAGCTGGCAACGCGGGGTTTGAACTCACTTCAGTCCCTGGGCCAGCCTGGCGTGGGCCGGAGCCGGGTCTTCTGAGTCTGTGCCTAACCCCAAGATACTTGAATTTGATCCCCCTTACACACCTGCTCTGTTGTAACGCAAGAGTCGTCTTATTCAGACGAGGCATCCTTGGTGTCGGTAGACGTGCCTTTCACGGCGGCATTTTCCTACTAATGATGCTGCACTTCTGCTCCAGCCGGTCCTTACACCCTTGCCCGGGTCACCAAGAACTACTCACAAACGACAGGTGGGAGGAGAATCCGAGTGTCATCTGCCCGGTCTAAAACATATTGGAATTTCCCCAGGGAACTGAACGGCCATACCCATTAATGCTCATCAGAAAAGGACCCTCCCCCACCGGAGGTTTGGCTCCCAAACCCTTCAGCGTTTGGCTCTTTGCAAGTGTAAAGCCAGTTAAGGGACGTGAGGAGCAGGCTTCTCTAACTCTTCTTATATCACAAAAAGTTCGACTTCCCGTATTTGGGGGCTGGTCGGTTTGGTTTGGAAGGAGAAAGTGGGCAGCTTGTCAGCGGGGCAAGGAGAAATGCAGTTACCCGACTCTCCCCTCAAAGGGGGACTCCTGTCGTCCCTTCATTCTACAGTTTTGACGGAAAACTGCACATTCATCACACAAGACTTCTTCCCCAACGGCTGGCCACACTTCTGCAGTTATCCGAGAGCGAGAATGTGATACTGCGCTGTAAATATTTCCTCCGTGCCGAGGACTCCTAGTCCTTGCTCTCCTGAAACGGAGGGTCCACCGAGGATTCCCCTCACGCCCCTGTGGGCCTTCCCCTGCGTTCCTGAGATCACATCCTTTGATCACAGCGTTATCCCTTGGCCATCCTGCTTTCCCTGGGCTCTGCCTGGTAGTGAGGGTGGCCTCATAGGATCTAACACGTGGAGGGAAAGTGAATAAGGACCAAGCAGGGCCACGGCGACAGTCGTCTTACCTCATCCGGTCGTTTCATTCTATGTGAAAATGGGGGCCCAGGCCTGTTTTCTGTATTAAGTGTTTTTAAACAGTAAGAAATACATATTATATTGCAACCCAGTACACACATGTAAACACACACACGTGCGCAACGGCTCACAACCTGAAGTGCTGGAGGAAGCCGCATGTGGTTGCTTACAGCACAAGCTGTCGAGTCAGGCCTGCCAACGAGCCCCTGCTCTCCCATCTGAACCCCTGAAGAGAATGTTGAAAAACTGCATACCCCATCACACGTCTAAAGGTGTCATCTAAATGTTTTTCTCCCCAAATTTAAATATTTGCAAAGACTATAATTTCCAGTTTATTGTAAATATGCTCTAAATATATTTTTGTCAAAATATGGAGCCGGAGGTTCAGCTCAAATGCGTGGAAAATGTCCTTGATATAACCTAATTGCCAAAGCCATGCCTCGCTGTCTCACCCACGAGCTCGTCAGACTGAACCCCCCGTCAGAAAGGAGGTCAGTCTCCATTTTGTAATTCACACTGACATACAGCGGCCCTCCCCACCCTGACGGCCACCCCACTTCTGATTCCGGTTCTGAGATGGATGCCGGAGGGGAAAGCCCTGCTGCAGGTCTGCGCCTGTTTGAAATGCAGCACAGCTCCCGAGAGGCCTCCCCTTAGGAGCGAGGCTCTCCCGAACTGTCCCTTGATTTGGTGCCTGGGAGTTTTTATATCCCAGGGCCACAATCCTTCAGAGGTTTGAGACGGATGAGAAGTGTGTCTTTCACTTCTGGAATTGGCAGGAAGATAGTTGTGGAAGGGGAGTGAGAAGGGAGAACTGGCAGACCTCAGACCCCTGGTACGTCGATTCGGGCAAGACGGGCGTATGGAACTTGAGGATCTGAAAGCTGATCCTCCTAAAATTATGACTGGACCCCCCAGTCCAGTCCAGCAGATGCCCCTAGGTACTTGAACCACTGTTCTAAGCCTTTCGTATCCTCACCTGTAAAATGCAAATAATAATAGTGCCTACCTGCAAAGACACTTGTGGAGAATAAATAAGGCGATGCAAATAAAGCGCTTAATGAAGTTCTGGGTGCACACTAAGTACCCGCTACGTGTTCGCTATTGTTATTGCTGTTGCTGTTGTTATTGGACCCGTCTGCTTGCTAACAGTGTCATTTCTCCCTGGGTTAAGTAATCTTGAGGCCCATCCCTAAGGTTTGTGGGCCCCATCCAAGCTCCCTCCACATCGCTGCAGCCAGCTGCCCCTTGACCACTCCTTGGCCCAGGAACCCCTGTCTGGTGGGAAAATTCACTCTCAGGAGGACCGACTTGAGTAGGAAGCCCTCACGTGCCCTGGAGGTGGACACAGGGCTGTCTGAGCAGGAGATTTAGGGTTTTGACTTTCTGGAACTTGCTCTAGAAGGGGTTGGACACAGGTCTGGTGGGCACATCCCCCCAGCCCAGCAGATTTCTTGCCCAGACGGAGGAGGCAGGAGCCGTATAAAGCACAGGCCCAGCGCAGTGGCCCTGCAGCTCGGGTCTGAAGGTCTCACCTCAGGGAAGTTAGAATCGACTGGGATGATATCTGTGAATGTGTTTTGCACATAAGACTTAAGTATTATCTTGATGGCCTTTATGATCCCAAATTCGGTTCAAGTCAGCCGCCTTGAACAAACTAACAGAAACCGCAGAAAAAGACAAGTTCCTAAACAGACCTCTCTTGAGGTGTTCTTGGAAACAGGATATAACGCCATGCCTTCTGTTTCAGGCACTGGCTTCCAGGCCTCAGGTTACAACTTCAACACCTACGACTGGAGGAGTTCCAAGCAGAGAGGCAGCTTGTCCCCGGTCGCGAAGCCGCGGAGCCAGACTTACCCAGATGTGGGGCTGAGCAGTGAAGACTGGGACCGGTCCACGGTCAGCGGGTAAGGCTTCCCTCAACTGGGGCCCCGTCCCGACTGCTCCGTGGACACTGGGGCCAGACCTGAACTTCCCTCTGACCCTACATATTGCTGCCACTGGCGTCCTGAGGCTGGGTGTTGGTCCTTGCTGGCCCCGTGGCAGGACTCTAAGGTTGTGCCTGCCCAGTGGGAGCAGCACTGCCACACAGCAGGGCGGGCGCTAAGTTTCCCCAGTGAAAACAACAGCGGCGCATGGGGAAAATCTGCTTCTATAAACTGAGTCTGCACCCTGACTAGTTCTCTCTCCTTTCATTTAAAGGTAGTTTCTCATTAACTTACATTTTAAAAGATACATCTAGGGTCTCATATTTTTATTTTATTTTATTTTATTTTTGGTGAGGAAGATTAGCTCTGAGCTAACACCTGTTGCTAATCCTCTTCTTTTTGCTGAGGAAGATTGGCCCTGGGCTAACATCCGTGCCCGTCTTCCTCTACTTTATGTGTGGGATTCTGCCACAGCATGGCTTGATGAGCAGTGTGTAGGTCCGCGCCTGAGATCTGAACCCCTGAACCCTGGGCCACCGCCAAAACAGAGTGCACCAACCCAACCACTACACCACTGGGCCAGCCCAGGGTCATGTATTTTTAACTAAAAGATGTATTTTAGCATTTTGTTCCTTAGCAAAATTATTAAAGACATTCATAAAAAGCGATAGCACTTAATTGATCTATACTGATGTGTATAGTAAGTGGGGAAAACACATTTTTCTCTCTTAGACAAAACTTTGATTTCTCTTTCCCTGTAGATAGAGTAGCTGAAAAATGTCCCCACCCGGCACCATGTTGACACAGCTCCTTGCGCAGTAGCCATGAGTACCTGAAATTCAGTTAGTAAGACCACAGTCCTTCCTTTCACTCTTGGAGACACTACGTTTCCTAAAGCCTCCTTACGTTGGAGCTGGCCCTACTTGGAGGGCACAGTTGGAAGAAAGCCAGATCCACAAAGAATCTCCATTCTTTGTGTGAGATGAAGGAGAGAGATTCTGGATACAGGAAAAGAAAACAATTGTGTGTGGCAAGTTCTTAACCCAGACTGTGCTTTCTGACGCCAGTTTCACAGGGGCTCCGGACAGCACCGAGGCCGAGCAAGAGGAGAACTTCTGGTCGCAAGCTCTGGAGGACTTAGAGACCTGTGGGCAGTCGGGAATTCTGAGAGAACTCGAGGTAGCCCCTCCTGCTACTGACTTTTGTTGTTTCTACATTCATTTCTTTTGGTCCCTTTGAGTTTGCATTTATCACAGCAGTTCATTTAAAGGCTTTACCCCCTTTCCACAGGAGAAAGCTGACAAGCGTGTGTCTTTGAGAAAGATGAGTCTCTTGGTAGCTACCCTTTCTGTTTATATTTTTGCTTGTGGAGCTGCCTCCCTGCCCCCTTGCCTTTGGACAGCAGTTTGAGTTTATACAATGCAGCTGGAAATATTTCTGTCCCCATCTCCCCCCACCCCGAGCTTACTGACTTGTGGCTTCTGCCATTGCTCCCTGCTAACCCTGACTGTACCTGTTTGCCACCAAATTGCTAAGGAGCCAGCTGAGTCTCCAGCAGTGGCGCATCTCATTCTCTTAGTTGCTTTAGAAAGGTTTCTTTGGCATGTTTTCATTTGTACCTGGTTTAGAAATTAATTTGATCGTGACGAGGAACATAAGAGGAAATCTTATTTCATTCTGTTTTGCCCTTCAAGTAGATGGCAATGCATGCAGCTGGTGAAAAAGGCCAGCCTGTGTGATAAGCAGCCGAAACATTACACAGTACTTTGCTGTTAATTGCAAATCCTGATGCCAGATTAACTTAGTGTGAATTCAAGGAGGGCAGTAGCTGAACTCCTAGTGAGTTCTTTCATCAAAGCCGTGAATTTGCTGACGGTATTCACTCTTTGGTCTGGGAAGTCCTGGACTGTTTCCTTTTATGTTCTTTTAAATTTTCTGAGCTGTAAAAAATAAAGTGGCCAAAGTCTCATTTTTATGTTGATGTCATATGAGGTCCCCAGATCACCATAAGGAATGTGAATGACATAACTGAGTGAAACTTGCAATTCTAAAATGAACACTCATCTTTATATTATTTTGCTTCTCGATTGCATGTGTGAGTATTTTATGTGATTCTAATGTCTGTGAATCTGCAAAGAGAATTATAAAGGAAAATATTAGTTTGAATTTCTAAACATCATAGTATTACCTGGCATGTATTTCAGCTTCAGAGCACGGTTAAAGGACCTGGAGATGGATAAGCCTATACAACTTAAGTAAATTAAGATTTAGCAATTGATTCCTTTTTATGCAACGTTCAAGAAGAGTAGAATGCTTAAGTATCAGCTGGCTTATTTAAACTTTTACCACTTCCTGTATGTAGAATGATCAGCAAAAGGGGCCCAGAATGAATCATGAGCTCAGTTCACAATTCTTGAACATACTCCTGCTTTTGAAAGCATGTGTCGGCTCATAAGCTTTTTCCATTTGCATTTTGATACTTCTCTTTTGAAGAAGCAGCTATTCTCCTAATAGCTTCTTTTACGTTAGGTAAAATGAAGATGATACAAAAAGTAATACGGTGAGGTTGTGTTTTCGCCCAGAAATTGGGTTATCTAAAGAAAACAACATCCAGCAGCATGGACGTTATGTCGCAACAGCCTATAAATTTTCTCCAACACAGCTTCAGGTGTGGCCTTGAAATCGTGACTCCAGAAAGGAAGTGGGTTGAATTTATAAGCCAAAGAGAAATTAGAGTCCTCAACTAGGAAGAATGATTGGCTAATCCATTCATTAGAGTCTTGTTTACACCTTTATCCCAAAGAATATTCATTTATTAGTTTAAACGAACTCTGATCCCTTGCAAATGCTATGGTGCAAAAAATATTATTGGAGCTAAGTTGCTGCCTATGAAATTTACATCCAGTATTAAAGGTTAAAGCGTACCGTAGCTGTAATAAATGGAGAAGATTAGCTAAGATAAAATGATTACAATTGAAATGAAAATGAAAATTATACTAATCACTTTCCCCATTGCTAGCAATAATTTAGGTTCAACTTTAGCACTGAAAAATGTATAGTTTTTGGGGCTGGCCTGGTGGCATCGTGGTTAAGTTCAGTGCTCTCCACTTTGGCGGCCTAGGTTTGCAGGTTCAGATCCCAGGCATGGAGCTACACCACTCATCAAGCCATGCTGTGTTGGTGACCCAAATATAAAATAGAGGAAGGGGGCCAGCCTGGTAGTACAAGCGGTTAAGTGCGCGTGCTCCGCTGCAGTGGCCCAGGGTTCACCAGTTCGGACCCCGGGTGCGCACCGACACACCACTTGTCAAGCCATGCTGTGGTGGCGTCCCATATAAAGTGGAGGAAGATGGGCATGGATGTTAGCCCGGGGCCAGTCTCCCTCAGCAAAAAAGAGGAGGATTGGCAGATGTTAGCTCAGGGCCGATCTTCCTCACAAAAAATAAAAAAATAAAAAATAAATAAAATAAAATAGAGGAAGATTGGCACAGACGTTAGGTCAGGACCAGTCTTCCTCACCAAAAAAAAAAGTATAGTTTTTAACAAAAAAGAAAAATTGGAAGTAAGACTTGGGACCAGTTACTTAATCTCTTTTATCAGATATTTGTTCTTCCATAAAATACGGAGATTATAATGACTAGTGGTTATGTGGCACTTAATGCAGAACATGGCACTTAACCAATGTTCAATAGAAATTATTATTTTTGCCATTTTTTTGATTAATGAGCACTGCTTTAACTATTTTTGTTTAATATAATATAGGAAAACAGTTTAACTAAATGTCAGATAGAGAAACTCTTGAACATACCCCTTCTAAGTTGTGTGTACATCAGGTATCTCACTGATAATTTTGAAAAAGAAAACTGTAACTGTAAATTATGAATTGTGCCAAGTGAAAACAGGCAATATATACTCTTGAGGTGAAAACAAATCCTAGATAACTTAAAATAATTATTTTTTAACTTTTTATTTTGTTCTTATATTTGTTTTAATCTTTATATTCCTTCATAGATGTCACAAATTCAATTGAAGTTCACTTAACAAAGCAGTCAGGCCGTGCTTTGAAAACTTGACCTACAGACCTATTGATAATATATCATTGCTTCCATCGGAACCCTTGCTAGATTAGTTTGTGACTTCGTTGTGGATAAGGCTTATCAAAGTAGAGCTGTTGTCTCCCAGTTGCGGTAATTAACTATTTTACTTCCTACATGTTTCCTGCTGGTCCCATGAAAAATGACTATAAAAAAATAGATGTTAACAAAGCAAATAACTAGTCTAAGTAGGTGAAAACAATCGGTGGATGGTCCCACAGCAAGAAAACAACATCACGTGCTGTCAGTTACGGTGGATTAAACAAAGAAATGATCGTGTGGGGGAAGTGCCATAAAGTAAAAGGATGTCCCCTGATACCAACAAAGCCAGTAATTGAAAGGTTTCCATTTAAAAACGGGGTTTATCTGAAATAAACCACAGTATAGATAATCCACACTTGTTTAAACTTTAGGGGTTTATTTTTAATCTACAAACAGTGAGTTTTATATGTTTCAACCTAATACTTGACTGAGAGTCAATACAGCCTGGTAGTCAAGAATAAGAATCAAGAGGGGCCGGCCCGGGGGCGTAGCAGTTAAGTTGCGCAAGCTCCACTTCGGTGGCCCGGGGTTCACAGGTTCAGATCCCAGGTGTGCACTGACACACTGCTTGTCAGGCCATGCTGTGGCGGCGTCCCATATAAAGTGGAGGAAGATGGGCACGGATGTTAGCCCAGGGCCAATCTTCCTTGGCAAAAAGAGGAGGATTGGCATCAGATGTTAACTCAGGGCTAATCTTCCTCACCAAAAAAAAAAAAAAAGAAGAATAAAAATTAGTAGTCGTCATGAATGAGGATTCTGGAGTCAGATTGCAAGGGTTGCAGTCTCAGACTCCTGAGCCAGTTTTTTAACTTATCTAGGCATCCCTTCCCTTAACTGTGATGGGAGGTGTAATGATAACACCTAGCATGTGGAGTTACCGTAAGTATTAAATGATATTCTACATGCACACATGTATATGGTACTTAGCACGTGTTAGTCCTCAATGACCAGTAAGTGTTTTGAACAATTATAATTTTTCAACATTATCAGTGAGATAACTCATCTAGTCAGGATATTGATGTTTACTTGTTTTGTTTATTTTTCAGCAGAGTTGTAGGTATACGTACATGTGGCCCAATACTTGGCTGTCATTCAAAGGTCTTGTTAGTGGCATGTGTAGAGCTGAACCCAGGTGAATATTGGAATTATAAAATCTTAGAGAGAGGACAGATGAAAACTCTACTGACTTTGCAGTGTTCCCTCCTCATCCATAATTGTAGATTGTGCCCTTGGCTCATTTACCACCTGTGACCTTGGGTAAGTTAGCCTCTTTGTGCCTCAATTTGCTCACCTGTGTAGTGGGAGGAATAACAGTGCCTGTTTCATAAAGTTGTGAGGCTTAAATGGGTGAATACATTCAAAGGACTCAACTAATTACACTTCTGTTACTTTTAGCATCGGTATCAGTATAAACCCCTAGACTGTGTTGTAGCCAATAGCACAACATATGGACCTTGTTTTCTGTTCCCATGATTTCAGGCAGATTCACCACCAGTGCTGTTTGCCTTTATATAACCATCATATTGAGGAGTACAGAGCTGGCTACAGGCGTGTTTTCAGAATATCAGCATCCTCTAACCATGAGAAATGAACATCCCCAACATATTGGTTTCAAATTCTCCTTTTGTTCCCCTTTTGAGACTCAGTCATATTGGGGATCTAATCTTGCCATTCCTTGTGTGTGGTGCAGGGAGCATATTTGAAACTGAACACACTTTCCCAATTCACAGGGAAAATCCAATCCCAGTCTCACAGCTTTTGAGCAGAGGGTGGAATCCAGGATCATAATAAATGATTATTCTTTAACCTGTCTGAGGATCTTACACAAAGGCTAAGAAACACTGACCTGCGCCAGATGTGTGGAGGCCTAGCTTGTCTACAAGCTTCTGGGCAGGCCACTTGGCAGAGGGAAAGACAACAGACTAGTGGTAGGCAGGCAGCACTGCATAGAGGCCCTGCCTCTGTGTCAATAACCCGATTTCAGCCAATTGCTCCCTCCAGTTGGGGCTGGAGGCAGCATTGCACACAGAGGGAGCCTGGTCCCGATGGGGAAGTTCTTAGCTCATTTCTGTAGGATATAGTGAAGGGTGCCACACGAACCCATCTGTTAGAGCCACTGCAAATGGAGTTTGCAGTAAGCAAATGTTAAAGCTTTTCAATTTGCCTCAAAACTGCCAGGGGTGGTATTTGATTAAATAAACTCAATGGCTTAAGTGCTTAAATTGGATTTGAGACGCGCATTATGAATGTCACTGGCAGAGCGTTTTCCAGACATTCACAGTTCAGTCGCTGCGTCCACTCCCCAGCCTTTGCCTGTGCCCTGAAGAGGCGGTATCTCGACCGGGCAGAAGTTGAAATGTGCTTAATGTTGAGCGACCAAACCCTTTCCGTCGTCCATGGCCTAATTGTTTCTGAAAATTGTCGATGCCACAGGCAACAATCATGTCGGGGAGCACGGTGAGTTTGAATCATGAGGCCCCGACACCCCGCAGTCAGCTGGGGCGACAGGCCAGCTTCCAGGAACGGAGCACCTCGCGGCCACACTATAGCCAGACAACTCGGAGCAACACCCTGCCCTCAGATGTGGGCAGGAAGTCGGTGCCCCTGAGAAAAATGAAGCAAGACATAAAGGAGGTCATGTCCCCGACTCCTGTGGAGCTGCACAAGGTCAGAAAGCTCTCTTCTCTTTCCTCAGGGTCCCATTTAGTGGCCATTCTGCACACCATGGGTGTCCTGATAATGACGTTCTCCCGTGGGCTCAGCCAAGGAGGGAAGCCAGAGCTTAACGGCAGGTCATCTTCAGAGACTTGGTTCTCAAAACATGATCTTTGGGGGCCGGCTCTGTGGCTTAGCGGTTAAGTGCGCGCGCTCTGATGCTGGCGACCCGGGTTCGGATCCCGGGAGCGCCCCGAGGCACCACTTCTCCGTCCAACGCGAGGCCGAGTCCCACGTACAGCAACTAGAAGGATGTGAATCTATGACATACAACTATCTACTGGGGCTTTGGGGGGAAAAAACAATAAATAAAATTTTTAAAAAAAAAAAAAAAAAAAAACATGATCTTTGGGAGGTTATCCTATAAAATGGGGAAAATGGGCTTTCAAGCAATGAATTTATCAAAATGTATTTATGGATGAAATCTTCTTACGAAAGTTTGAGACTCCAGTGTCACGTGGAGTTTTGATGAATGGGTCTGTTATTCCAACTTCACTGGAAGGGGAAATGGTTTTCTAAATGTCATACACTCATAGCTTCACTGAAAAGGGGTTTCAGGTTTAATGTGGGAAGGCTTAATCCTTAATTACAGACTTTTCTGCAAGGGGTCACGTTACTCAGGGAACAGGAAGTTCTCGTCAAGGTGTATTTTAGATGTCTTGGGTCAGGACAGGGTAAACCCTGGCTATGTCCCACCTCTGCTACAATAGTTGTCTCACTTTACTTGATGGAAGAAAACCCACGATTGCCACAGAGCTGAATTTGATTTGCTGGCAGAGTTTAAACGAGGCATATGTAAGTGACAGTGTTTGCAGAACCCAGGGCCAGGGAGAGCAGTGGTTGGGAGGTGTCTCTGGTTTGCTTTGGTAGAACTAATGCTTTATGTTTTTGTTAATACCTAAGGATGTTTAGATAGTAACAATTTCACCCCACTTTTCTTAAGAACCAAGACCCTCTCTGTCGTTAATAATCTGTTAACTGGAGAGTAGTTATTCGTCTTCCCCAGAAGAGCAAATGTCAGATCGAGAGGAGGTAACAGGCCAGCTACTCCCTTTTTCCTCTCAAGACTTCAATTTCCCTGACCACCTATTAAAACTAGCTATTTAGTTTGCAGCTGACAAAGCATGTGGTGAAAGAAAGAATAGTATGGGAAGCTGAGTTCTAAACTTTGTGTTTCAGTCCTAGGCTCATTCTTTCACTACTCATTGACTCATTCATTTAATACATAGACTGTGCATTCATTCACTTAAATATTGCATCGTGGGGGCGGGCCCGGTGGCACAAGCAGTTAAGTGCGTGTGCTCCGCTGCTGCGGCCCGGGGTTCACCAGTTCGGATCCCGGGCGCGCACCGACGCACTGCTCATTAAGCCATGCTGTGGTGATGTCCCATATAAAGTGGAGGAAGATGGGCACTGATGTTAGCCCAGGGCCAGTCTTCCTCAGCAAAAAAGAGGAGGATTGGCATTGGATGTTAGCTCAGGGCTGGTCCTCTTCACAAAAATAAATAAATAAATAAATAAACAAACAAACAAACAAACAAATAAATAAATAAATAAATACTGCCTCGTGGATCCCCAGAGAGCACATAGTCTAATGGGAAGACAGTCTAGGAAACAGTGGGGAGAGAATGGGATAAGCACAGTGAGAGGGGCAAGGCTAGGCTGCCGTGGGGGACAGAGGGTGGACCCTAACCCACTCTAGAAGAGACAGGAAAGCCTTCCTCGAAGTAGGCATTGACTCTGCAGGAAGTTGGAGGATGGGAGCGCATTCCAGGCCCAGAAAGAACACGTGCAAAGGGATGGCAAAGTTGTCATATATTGAGGGAATGCAAATATTCCAACATGGCCGAAGCCTTGAATTGGAGCCTTGTGCACTAGGAGGAATTACAGACTTACAGAAAAGCAGAGAAGTTTCTGACATTCCAGGAGGGGACCCAGGTGTAGCCCCGTGCCACAAGTCAGCCTGTTTATCAGTTACCTGAACTGATGTGTCTGTTTGGTAAACACCAGCCTTCACCACCTGTCACACATCCTAATATGCTAATTGACAAACGCCAGTAGGAGGCTGTAAGGACTCCCACGGTGAATAAATTGCAGAAGCTGCATAGTCAGTGCTAATTCTGCTGTACCAAGGAGAGGGCTGGCCCTCCTGATTCCTCAGGTGTCTAGGACACTGCTGTACCCTCTTCTGTGAATTCTCCTGCCCAGGCAGAGAAGAGTGTGCTTGATAACCCGCCCTCCTTCCGCCCCAAAGGGAAAGGAGGCCAACATGGATTGAGTGCTTTCTCTGTGCTATATTCTTCATATTTTCAACCTTCACAATAGCCCCTCTTAGCAGGTATTTATTATCCCCATCTATAGGATGGGGAAATAGCAAGTATAAAATAGAGTAATTTTTCCTTCTAGAGTGAAGCAGGCTCCTCAAAGGAAGATTATTGATAGCCCAGCACACAAAAGACCTGTCTCCCCATCGCTCCTGCCCAGAGAGCGTTTAGCAAAGATAATGACGGCGCATTGGATGTGCAAATTGTTACAGCTGAGGTTTACAAAAAGTGACTGTGCTGAAAATAGATCTTGTTAAAAAAAAGAGAAAAGAAAGGCATCATCCACTTACCAGCACAATGAGTGATGGTGGCAGGACTGGTTGGAACATTTGTGTGGCAGTGGGTACATCTGGAGGCCACAGGCCCGCGGACACGGATGGGCCACCTTGACCTAGTACATGGGCTGCTTCTTTCTTCCTTCACTTCGGTCGTTTCCCCTCGGTGGCGGCTCTAAGTGTGTCTCCCGTGGAGCTTTGTTTTTCTTTGATCCCAAACAAAATAAGACGAAAAAGTAGGCAGTGTCCTGGGCATTATAAGACACCTCAAACCATCTGTGAAGTGAAACTGTAGCGGAGGAGCCTGCAGCTGCCAATGTAGAATTCTTGGAGTGGTTATGCTCACATCTCGGGTATCTTTTCCTTTTTAAGTGAATCGAGTGACTCTGGTAGGCTGTCCACGTGTTTGTTGTTAAACACACTCTCCAGTTTTGAAGTGCTTGAGAGAAGAGATGATCATGAGAAAAGTCACTTCACTCGGAGCGAACATTGGTCTTTGAGGTTGTGTCTTGCAGGCGGGTTACCTGACACCGTGACTACCTGACACCAGGAAAGAGCACATGACTTGTTGATGGGTTGTTATCCTCCCACTGGGGTGCTGCTAGCCTGGATTAAACCTTTGTAAAATTAGGAAAGGCACTCTTTTGGGTGGTGGCATAGAGAGAGGCCGGAGAATCAGAAAGACATCCCTTTTTCAAGTTGAAGATAACCTCAAGCCAGAGGGCACAGCTTGGCAAGTGGGATGAGGGCTGGTTGTCAGTCCCCAGAGCCCTGTGTATTTCCACTAGAAGCTGGCTCAAGAGGATGTGAATGAAGAGTGAGTATCCATCCCCGCTCCTGGGGAGAAAACACCAAGAGCAACAGCAGCTCCACCTCCCGACGGTGGGTCGCTAACATCATCCTCATCCACAAAGAATAAAGTGCAGGTTTCTCTTCCAGTCTCTTGGGTTCCAACTTCCTCTCGTTGTTGCCCCTCATTTTCCACCCAATCCTCCTGTCACTCCTTTCCTTCCTTCAGGCCTGCAGAAACCCCGAGCTCAGGTCAGAGACTAAATAGTTTCCATTCTTTTCACGTCATCTGCTGTGTCTGAGGCTCTGCCGGGTCCTGGTGGCTCTTCCTTCGAGTTGTCCCCATTCATTCCTGAACCCAGAGAGCTTGCTGTCCTTCCTGACACTTGAGAACAGACGTAGAAATGCAGTCTCACTTTTTTGGCGGTGCAGATGGGGAGGAAGTTGGGCTGCAGTGATGATTTGGTATGTAGTTGGGGGTGGTGGGCTCAGCGAGGGGGCACAGGGAAGTGATACTCATGTCCCCTTAGGCCACTGCCTCTCAGACTTCCTTGGCCGAGTCACACAGTCCGAAATACATTTTACCTCACAATTCAGTACACACATATACCCACACTCACATATATGAATGAATCCAAAAATTGTACACTAACATTTCCTATTTTTTGTTTGTGTCTTTTCAAATGTGATGGCATTAAGCTGATTTTGAGACTTATTAATGGGTCTCAACCAATAGTTTCTGCACTACAGCCTTAGACAGTGGTTTGGTGCATGCACCTCTGATGACCTTTTCCATGATCACTCGGGGTGCTCGTTAAAACGCAGGTTCCTGACCCCACCCAGACTTACCTGGTCAGCATTTTCCAGCCAAGAAGCTACATTTTAGCAACCTCTCCGGTGGATTCTTTTGCGCCCTAAAGATTGAGAATCGCCCCCTTGGGTCGTGCTGATGGGAGGTGACTATTCTGTTGCAGCGAAATCATTGCAGCAGGTGGTGGCAAAGGGACAGGGGCGGCGTCTTGGGCCCCAGAGTGTCGGCGTTCTCTCTTGGCTGAATTCTGGTGTGTGGTCCAGCTGAGCACAGATTCTTTCTCTTGGCAGATAAGGAGCCTGGGATCTTACCTACAGTTCACTGATAACCCTCTTTCCCTTCTGAGGCTTAAATAGCCTCTGGTGTCCATTTATTTCTGAGATGAATTCCAGCTTCACTTCTTTGCACATTTTAAGGCAAAAAAAATTTCAGTAGAGTAGAAAGTTCCCCACATTCAGAGCATTTGGACTTTTTTAAAATCGTATGGACATTTCGTTTTGCTCCATCATTCATGCTTTTCAGTAAAATTATATTCCTTAATTTTATGTGGCTACTTTCATTTATCTTTTTACAGAAATGTTTTTAAAATAATTTTCCAGCATCGACTTTTATTCATGGCTGCTGGTGGCCTGACCCTTCAGCGTTGGAGCCACTCACAAGGAACCCCTTTATTTCTTGAAGTTGGTTTGCTACCATCCACTTTTCCCCCAGCCAAATTCACTTTGCATTTCAATGCATTTGAGTGTTTTGGGA